TATGTAGTTTTTATATTACTACTCATTTAATCTCAAAAGTTAAGTTTGGTTTGAGCTTCACTGATGAGGAAACTAAGGCTCATTCATGAAGAAAATGACATAACCAACAGCCAGGGTTTCAATCTAGGTCTGATTCTAAAACTTATGCTTTTCACTTCCATGTTTTTACCTGTTTTTCTATAAGAGGCTTGTGTATACATAAACATAAAAATAAATAGGGGAAAAGTATGGAAGGCTTTGTGCCACACGGGTTCTCTCTGGAGATGTGAGGTTCCAAGGGTTCCAGGTTCCATCACATTCTGCATCATTGAGCGCAGATGTGCTCACAAGCGTGTGTGTGCGTGTGTGTGTGGTGTGTGACTAGAGAGACTGAATCAAGGCCCTTCACATCCCAGCCCTTTTTAAATTTCTTTATTTTGAGATAAGAGTCTTGCTAACTCACTAAGTTGCCCAGGCTGGGCTCAAGCTTGTAATCCTCCTGCTTCAGTCTCCTAGAGTGCTGGAATTACAGGTGTGTGCCACCATGCCTGGGTTCATCTTATCTTTGTCAATGTGAATGCATTACTTTACTTATGTTCTTTTTTTTCCTCCAATTCTAGCTGGGGAAAAGTGACGGAGGAATGATCCTTGTGCGTGACACTGACAAGCTAGGGTTTTGTGCAGATTCTCCATGCTATCTGGTGAATCCCCAGAGAGAACATACAGCCATACTCACTGGACCCGTAAAGCCACATCCCTGATCATTAGGTGGCCCCCCGCCTCCATCCACGTGGCAGTCACAGACAATCACCTCCGCTGGTAGGAGGTCTTGGAGCTCCATTCTGCCTGCTTGGAGCTGCAGATATCAGACACCCTAAAGTAATGGCTGTTCTGCTCCCACTGCTGCCGAAGCCGGGCCTCCTGCTCTCGCTGTCGCTGTCGCGCCGCCTGTTGATCCAGGAGCCTGCGGCTGCACCAGTAGGAGGGCAGTGTGGGGAGTGCCATCTGAGTGTGGAGTAGCAATGGTTAGGAAACCAATGACTGCAAACCCAGGAACCCTCACCAGGTGGCCTTGGCTCTTCAAGGATGGTGCTCACCCTTTGGCTGCAAATGGAAACCACCTGGTGGAATTCTAATACCCATCTCTGGGCTCCACTCCAAATCAACTGAATCATAAAAACCTGAGATTGGAGTAGGGGCATCAACACTTTAAAATAATTCGCCACCAAGGTGACATCACCAATTTAAATAACCCCAGACTGTGCTCAGCAGTGGACTGGCCATTACCAGGGATGCTACAGAGATAGGGTTTGGCCTAGCAATGGAAGACTGCATGTTGGGGACTTTTATGCTCTGCATTAAATAACAGGGACATCAGTATGCTCCAAGCACTTTACAAATATCATTTTTAAAAAAAATTTTTTTTTTTGGTACCAGGCATCGAACTCGGGGTCCTTGTGCTTGCAGGGCAAGCGCCGAAACCACTGAGCTAAATCCCCGGCCCTTAATTTTTTTTTTTTTAATATGGAACGCTTCTCAAATTTGCGTGTCATCCTTGCGTGGGGGCCATGCTAATCTTCTCTGTATCGTTCCGATTTTAGTATATGTGCTGCCGAAGCGAGCACATCGCTTTTCTCATCCTTAAAATCACCCCATTATTTGGCAAGTGAGGAAATTCTGGTTCAAAGAGGAGAAACGACTTGCTCAGGATCACAAAGACACGAAACGGAGGAAACAAAAGATGCGGAAATTTAGATCAGTCCAAGACCCGAGCTCAGACTGTACTCGACAAAGGGCTGCCCCTTGGGGCCAAAATGCCCTACCTCCGGAAGCCCCTGGCCAAGGCCTGGCCTGGATGTCACACGTGGAAGTGTCCCGGCCTGCCCTGAGGGAAGACGAAGAAACACACCGAAGAAAGGAATCAAGCTGCCTGGGGACACTGCCGGACCCTCGAGGACAGAGAGCAGTCTGAACTCCAGACACCTCTATCCCGGCCTCAAAGCTGCCCTCCCGTGCAGAGTATACCAGTGCTTGGACCGGAGTCTGGGGGAATGTGTGACAGGGTTGTGTTAACATCAAGAATCTCCAAGTGAAGAGTACTCAAGGTCCTGGGGCCAAATGTGACATCTGTGTTTTAAGACTGCAGCAGGAGTAACCTACTTTTTTCCTTGCCCTGAAAAGCTGCCGGCTGATAAATCTTTGCACCAGGTGGCAAAAGCTTTAAGATTCCATGCGGGGCTGCTTCCCCGAACCGATCGAATCCTCTCAGGCTCCAACACCCAATAGTATCAAAGAGGGTTGCAAAGGACGGTGTTGGGCACCGAGAGAGCTGGAGCCTAGAACAGGCCCCCAGGGCTCGCGTCTTCCGGTTCCCGCCAGCGCGCGGCGGCCTATGGCAGGGCACTACGAGTACTTGTCTTGAAGCCGGCTCCCCTGGCAGATCCACCTCTCAGCTCACGTTTCTCTGCACCCTGGAGTTTCCGAAGAATCCCTCGAACCGAGTTCTGCACTCACCGACCCGGGCGGCTCTGTCCCGCGGCTTACCTCCCAGGCATCCCGGAGCAAGGGCCAACGGTTCCCGGCTGGTTGCCGCGGTAACGGGCCTGACGACGGTGCACCACTAGGGCCAAGCCACCTCCAGCGCGATACTGGACGAGCAGAGAGAAGGATTGTGGGTTTTCCCCCTACCGCCCCCTAGAGTCGTTGTGGAATCGATAGCAAACGCATTCATCCTTGAAATAGAGAAAGATGGAGGGAAAATTTTACAACAAAATTTACAACAAAAATCCTACAACAAAATTCAGGTTGGTGGTTACTTGGGGAGATGAAGGAGAAGGGGAAGAGGCTGAAATGAGGCTGAAATAGAGGAGCCAATGGTTCTCAAACCTGGCGGCAAGAATCATCTGAGGAGCTTCTAAAAATTCAGATGCCCAGTCCCCCCCTCCACAAATCCCATCAGAGCTCTCTAGTTGTGTTCAATGTGCAGCCGGGGCAAAGAACCGCTGACCCACGTAGTCACAACTGTTGGTAGACTTTCCACTGTAGTCTTGATCTGTGATGGGCTTGAGGTTTTCCCTCTATTATTAACTACCTACCAGATCCCAGATACTTTAGATACATCCCCTCAGTCAAGCCTCGCTCCATCCTCCACCCACTCCCATTTTGCAGCTGAAGACACTGAGGCTTGGAAAGGTGAAGCAACTTTCTTGAGGTCACACAGCAAGGACCCTGAGATCCAAGATTCAGACCTAGTCCAAGAGTTTATGAATCTTTCAGTTTGTTTTTCTGGAGTTTGAAGCCTACAAGCCAGGTATGGTGGCACACTCCCATAATCCCAGGACTCTGGAGGGCTGAACCAAGAGCATCAAAATTTTCAAGCCCAGCCTGGGCAATGCAAGACCCTATCTCCAAACAAAATTAACAGGGCTAGTCATGTAGCTCAGTGAGGGACTGAGTTCAGTCCCCAGTACCCCTACAGTTGTGAGCCAGCTGTGGCCATATAATGAGGTCAGTAACGTTACATATGGTATTTAGTGACAACCAGTGACCGTGGCTCACTGAGGGTTGATATGGGGAGCCCTGGAGGGACCCTTCAGTCTGGAAGCTGCTCTCTGGCTTGTCTTTGGGTATACTAGCACAGCAAGAGAAAACAGGAGTGTTGGGGAGGGGCATGAAGACATGAACAGCTTGCCCTTGGCTAAAACAGGACAGCTCTGCAGGCCACACAATGCCCCCCTTAACTCACAGGTGACATCGCTGAGATCTCTTTCTACGCTACTGTTGGCATTTCAGCATCAGCCAGTCTGGCTTCTCTCTTCACTGCTGGGCCGAGCTCCACCCTCCCTGAAGCCAGGGTGCAAAACCAGCTGCGCTTGGGGTCTGAGACACCAGTGATGGAGCTGCCTCAGAGAGCTCCAGCACTGGGTGTTAATAATACATAAATGAAGAACCCAAATAATACATAAATGTAGCTATCCATGAGAAAAAGTAAGAGAGGACAAAGCACAGAAAGCAGTGGGTGTCCATGGGTCAGAAGTAGGAACGATTTTCATTTGTATTTCTCTCCGGATTTTTAGTTTTTGCTCTTTTTTTGTTTTGTTTTGTTTTTTTGAGATGGGGTCTCACTATGTAGTTGAGACTGCCCTGGAACTCACTGTGTAGTTGTGACTGACCTGGAATTCACTATGTAGCCCACGCTGGTCTTGAACTCACAGTGATCCTCCTGCCTCAGCCTCCCAAGTGCTGGGATTACAGGCGTGTGCCACCATGCCCAGCTGGGTTTTTAGTTTTACAGTGGTCACCATTACTTGCATAATTTTTAAAAAATAAAATATTGACAGGGCGGGAGATTTAGCTCTCTGGTTCTGCCACCTGCCTCACAAGCACAAGGACCCGAGTTCAATCCCTGGTACCAACATAAATAAATAAAATTTTGACTCACGAGTGATAACCACCTGCACCCCTGTCACACTGAGTGCTTTAAGAGATGCTCTCTGTGTATGAGTACCATGGGGCAGAATCACCCAGGGAACTCTTAAAATCCTCATGCTTCATCCCCCAAATAGGGGAAGGACAGATTTATTTTATTGTCAGGGATGATGGGGTTTGCATATTTTTAAATAAATTTCTAATGTTAGAATAGCTTGAGATTTACAGAAAAGATGGTTCAGAGAGTTCTCATATTCTCCACAGTCAGTTTCCCCTGCTGTTGACACATTGTGTGTATTCTGCATTTTCTACAGTACAGAAGTCTAACAGGGACCATGGGATGGGGGGTTAAGATCAAAGAGTCTCCAGGGGAAAAATATTCCCCTTTTCTCTCTCCCGCCAATACTGGGGATTGGATTGAGTGGCACACTGTACCACGGGGCTACATCCCCAGCCATATTTGTATTTTATTTTAAGACATGGTCTTGATAAGTTTCCCAGACTTGCCTTGAACTTTCGATCCTCCTGCCTCAGCCTGCATGCGCCTTCATGCCCAGCATAAAAATGGTCTCTGCTTTTCCAGGGTCCCTCAGGGCCCCTTTATCTTCAAAGGCTGGAAGGGCAGTAACCCTCTGGCCACTTCCTTGCTTTTAAGGATGCGTGTACCACAAGCATAATACAGGGCATCTTCCCTGTCTGAAGGCTCTCAACCTTAATCAGACCTGCAAAGTCCCTTGGCCATATATGGTAACATAGGCACAGGTTCTGGGGATCAGGACTAGACACTTTTGGGGGTCACTATTCTACCTTCATGTGCTTCACTTTTAGTTACTATCCCTTGGTGGTGTAGATTTTTCGCCCGGATGCTGCCAGGTGGCCGTCCCTCCCAGGTCCTCCGGAAGTGGGTGGGGCTGGGTGGGAATTTTCTCATCCAGGGACATGGGACTGGCACATGCTCCTCTCACCATCCAGAGTGAAAAGGGGGCAGAGAGCTCTCTGGGAGCACAGGAGGAGGCTAGAAACAGAATTCCATTCTGGAAGCTTCTAGTCAGAACCTTCAAAAAAAAATTTAGGTCTGGGGATTTAGCTCAGTGGTTCTGCCCGCTGCTTTGCAAATGCAAGGTCCCAAGTTTGATCCCCATACAAAAAAGAGAGCCTTCAGGTAACTCAGCCTGCTTTCATTGCTGGAATACACTGAGCTGATACAATGACCCTAACGTTTCGGTCTTTGTATTTCATTTTTTTTCATTAAGTTTATTGCTACTTTTACATACATCACTGGGATCTTGTGCCTTTGCAGAATGATGTATCTTGGTTCTTTATTTTTCCCCACACCCCTCCCCTCCCTTCACCTTCTCTTTGTGTTATTTTTTTGAGGCCAGATTGATAGGAAGCAAGGAGCGTCTGACCAGCTCCAAGTCGTTTCGTTGTGTGCAAGCTTCAGTTTTCTTGTCTATAAAATAAGGATAATAGTACTGGTTTACTAACAGCTGTTTTCAACACAGTGCCAGGCCCGATCAGATCAGCGCGTGCTATGTGACAGCTGTTAGTATGATGATTGCCTCTAGGCTGGCAATTTTCTGCATAGCCTCTGTCTCAGTAAGGGCTGGGTTTAGTTTCCTGAAAAAGGAAGGAGCTGGGAAATCATTACTTCTTTGCTTACTGCCTTACCACTCTCTCAACTTTCCCGCTCCAGCTGTGCCCCAGTAGGGGTGGGGTGGCTGTCCCTCTCTGTGTGGCTCGGGGGTCATTCTGATTGTCTAAGCCAACTGTGGTGGACCCATACCCCTGTGAATGACAGGAACGAGGGTGGGCTTGGGGCACAGGTCTACACGGTGACACCACAGGGTACATGTGCTTTGAATGGTTATCCTGGGTGCTGTCACATCTGCAAGAGGTCCTTTGTACTGCTCAGCTGTCCTTTCCCTAGGCGGAAGCCACTTGACAGCAGAATGAGAAAAAAAAAATCCTGTTCTTAGAGATGAAATCAAATAGAGTTACTGTTAGGTAAAAAGATCGGAAAACCAGGATCACAACAAGCCTTTATTATGGGGAGGGTCTGCTGGGCTGTCTCAGAACAAAGGAGAGAGAGTGACAAGGCTGAGACAGGGAAGCTTCTTCCAGGACTGGGGTGGGGCTTATAGGAGCTGGGGTGGGGTTGAGTAATGTAGTGGCCAGGGATTGGGGGAGCTGTGACACCACTAGTTAGGGCCATTTTAAGGTGAGGGAAATCTTAACAGCCCACCTCTGAGCCCCTGCTCCATAGCATGGGGTCCTACTTTAAAGTAAGGTAAAATATTGGGTTGCATTGCTTAAGTCATTTTTCGGCCACTAGGAAGAATTTCCACTGATAGACTTTTCTGGAACAACATTGCTCAAAATGTCATTTTTACGGGCTGAGGATTTAGCTCAGTGGTTCCACTGACTGCCTCGTAAGCGCAAGGACCCAAGATGGATCCCCAGTATGGTGGGGGAGACAAAAACATAAGCATTATTTATTTAAAAAAATGTCATTTTTGCTGAGTGTTATGGCAAACGCCCTGTAATCCCAGGGAAGCAGAGGCAGGAAGATTGCAAATTCAAGCCCAGCCTAGGCAACTTAGTAACTTTAGTTAGACCCTGACTCCAAAATAAGGTTTAAAAAGTGCAGCAGATATAACAATACCAAAAAAATTATAATTCTTTTCACATAAGGTTGATAAAATATATGTACTACAACATTCACCATTTTTAAGTATGCAACTCAGTGGCATTAGGTCTATTCACAATGTTCTGCAACCATCACAGAGTGAAATTTTTTTTTTAAGAGTAAGAAAAATTTATTGAGGGAAGGAAAGCTTCTGTCTAAGAGAACAGAAGGGGGACTGGAAAATGGGTTGCCTGCCCACCCCACTTCTCCAAGACATTTTATACAGCAAAACCATGTGGTGAGGCGGGTACAAAGTGGGACAAAACTATAAGACCCAATGGAAAATTACAAGGTGGGGCAAAACCATGACCAACCAATAAGATTACAAGTACAGTCACCCAGGTAATATTGATTAAACAAGGGTCAAATGGGGGAGCACATCTTGTAGCCAGTGTACAAGGATCTTCAGTAAGGGATATTTCCTGGAAAGGCTGGGCTAAGACCTTGGTCCCCCACCCAGGTGATTGATACCTATTTAGAATATCATTCACTGCTGTTTATCCCTAGGGGAAGCACAAGGTCAAAGTGAAATTCTTTTCTTGGGGATTTTTTTTTGTTGTTGTTATTTTTTGTTTTTTGTTTTTTGAGACAGGATCTCACTATGTAGTTGAGACTGCCCTGAAACTCACTATGTAGCCCCGGCTGGTCTCGAACTCACAGTGATCCTCCTGCCTCAGCCTCCCGAGTGCTGGGATTACAGGTGCCACCCCCCTACCTCCGCTCCAAAGTGAAATTCTTGATTGACACCTTTACCTGGGCTGCGGAGCTGTTGTGAAATCTTGTTTTCGTTGCCTCCACAGAGAAGCAGGGCTCAGCCACCCTCCGCCTCCTCCCAGCTTCTCGGCAGGGCCAGTCGAGATATCTGCCTTCTACAGCTGCCTTCTGGTGACCACCTCCCTATGGGGCACCAAGATACAATTTGCGGGACTTGCTCCACAGAACCCCACGCCCTGCGTGGACTGCACAGATATGCCAAGGAGACTATTTCCCAGGCTTCTCTCGAACTCCCTGAACTCAGGCGGACTTGCTTTCAATCCACCAATCAGAACGCCCCTCCATCAACCCACGTGCGGTACACCCTGGGCCCTTGGGAGGGGCATCTGACTCTGTCTCTCCCTGGCTCTGTCTGTGTCCCTCTCTCTTCCCACCCACGGTTGAGGCTCCCACAGACCCTACAAGTTACGTGACTCTTTTCTTGGGGATCTTTAACAAAACTGTTTCGCTTTTGTTGTGTGCTTGGTGGCGCTATCTCCTCTGTGTCCCACCTGATCAGCTCAACAGGACCTAGCTCTCCTCCCCGTTAAGGCACTTCTAGAAAGCAGCTCTCTTGGCTGGGTGTAGAGGTCATCCCAGCATTCTGGGAAGCTGAAGCAGGAGGATCATAAATTCAAGCCCAGCCTGGGCAATTTAGCACTTTAGCAATGCCCTATCTCAAAATAAAATGGTTCCTGCCTCGCAAGCGCAAGGTCCTGAGTTCAATCCCCAGTACAAAAAAAAATAAAGAAAGAAATTTAGGGCCAGGGATTTAGCTCAGTGGTTCTACCGCCTGCCTCTCAAGGCCCAAGGTCCTGAGTTTGATCCCCAGTACCCCCCAAAATATATGTGTATTATATATATAT